TGTGTATATATATATATATAGGACACTTGGGACTGTTTCCGCACTTTGGCTATTGCAGATAATGCTGCAGTAAACATAGGGGTGCATATATCTTTTCAGTTTAGTGTTTTCATACTCTTTGGGCTAATAATATCTGGTAGTGGAATTACTGGATCATATGCTAATTCATTCCCACCAACAGTGTACAAGAGTTCCTTTTTCTCTACAGCCTCGCCAACACTTGTTTCTTGTGTTTTTGATTTTAGCCAGGTGTGAGGTAATACCTCATTGTGGTTTTGATTTGCATTTCCCTGATGATGAGTGAGGTTGAGCATCTCTTCTTGTGTCTGTTGGCCATCTGGATGTCTTCTTTGGAGAAATGTCCATTCATGTCTTCTGACCATTTTTAATTAGATTCTTTGTTTTTTGGGTGTTGATTTGTGTAAGTTTTTTTATATATTCTGGATATGAACCCTTTATCAGATATGTCATTGACACATATCTTATCCCATTCAGTAGGCTTTTTGTTTTGTTGATTGTTTCCTTTGCTGTGCAGAAGATTTATTTTGATGTAGCCCCAATAGTTTATATTTGCTTTTGTTTCTCTTGCCTCAGGAGGCCTATCTAGAAAGAAGGTGCTATGACCAATGTCAGGGAAATTACTGCCTGTGCTCTCTTCTAGGATTTTTATTGCTTTAGGTCTCACATTTAGGTCTTTAATCCATTTTGAGTTTATTTTTATGTATGGTATAAAAAAGTGGTCCAGTTTTCCCAACACTATTTGTTGAAGAGAATTTTTCCCATTGCATTTTTTGCCTCCTTTGTTATAATGGACCATATGATTGTGGGTTTATGTCTGTGTTCTGTATTCTGTTCCATTGATCTATGTGTTTATTGTGCCAGTACCATACTGGTTTTTTCTTCTTTTTTTTTTGTACCATACTGTTTTGATTACTAGCTTTGTAATATATCTTGAAATCTGGGATTGTGATACCTCCAGTTTTGTTCTTTTTCAAGATTGCTTTGGTTATTCAGGGTCTTTGGTAATTCCATACAAATTTTAGCATTATTTGTTCAAAGTTCTGTGAAAAATGTTGTTGGTATTTTGATAGTGATCACATTAAATCTGTAGGTTGCTTTGGGTAGTATGGACATTTAACAGTATTTGGTCTCCCAGCCCATGAGCATGGGAGTATCATTTGTTTGTGTCATCTTCAGTTTCTTCTATCAGTGTTTTATAGTTTTCAGAGTACAGGTCTTTGACCTCCTTGGTTAAGTTTATTCCTGAGTATTTTACTATTTTTAGTGCAAATGTAAATGGGATTGTTTTAATTTCACTTTTTGCTGCTTCATTACTAGCTATAGAAATGCAACAAATTTCTGTACATTGATACTGTATCCTTCAACTTTACTGAATTTATCAGTTCTAGCAGTTTTTTTGGTGTAGAGTCTTTCAGATTTTCTATATATAGTACATGTCATCTGCAAATAGTGAAAATTTTACTTCTTCCTTAACAATTTGGATGCCTTTTATTTCTTTTTGTTGTCTGATTGCTCTGGCTAGGGCTTCTAGTACTGTGTTGAATAAAAGTGGTGAGAGTAGACATCCTTGTCTTGTTCCTGACCTTAGGGGAAAAGCTCTCAGTTTTTCCCCATTGAGTATGATGTTAGTTGTGGGTTTTGTATTTAAGGCCTTTATTATGTTGAGGTATGTTCCCTCTATCTAGACCTGCTTTATTGAGGGTTTTTATTCTGAATGGATGTTATACTTTGTCAAATGTTTTTTCTGCATCCATTGAAATGATAAGACTTTTATCCTTTCTCTTGTTGATGTATCTCGTTAATTGATTTGCAAATATTGACTCACCCTTGCATCCCAGGAATAAATCCCACTTGGTCATGGTGATTTTTTTTTTTTTTAAGATTTTATTTATTTATTTGAGAGAGAGACTGGGAGAGAGAGAGCATGAGAGGAGGGAGGGTCCGGAGGGTCAGAGGGAGAAGCAGACTCCCTGCCAAGCAGGGAGCCCGATGCGGGACTCGATCCAGGGACTCCAGGATCATGACCTGAGCCGAAGGCAGTTGCTTAACCAACTGAGCCACCCAGGCGCCCGGTGATTTTTTTTTTTAATGTATTGTTGGATTTGATTTGCTAGTATTCTGTTGAGGATTTTTGCATCTGTGTTCATCAGGGATAATGGCCTATAGTTGTCTCTTTTTGGTGATGTATTGGTTTTGGTATCAGGGTAATGCTGGCTTCATAGAATGAATTTAGAAGATTCCCTTCCTTTCGTATTTTTTGGAACAGTTTGAGATGAATAGGTATTAACTCTTTGCCAGTGAAGGCATCTGGTCCTGGACTTTTTGTTTGTTGGGATTTTTTTTAAATTACTGATTCAGTTTCATCTCTAGGAATTGGTCTGTTCAAAATTTCCTATTTCTTCCTGATTCAGTTTTGGGAGATTATATGTTTCTACAAATTTATCCATTTCTTCTAGGTTGTCCAGTTTGTCGGCATATAATTTTTCATAATGTTCTCTTAGAATCCTTTCTGTGGTGTTTGTTATTCTCTTTCATTTCTGATTTTGAGTCCTTTGATAAGTCTGGCCAAAGGTTTATCAATTTTGTGATCTTTTCAAAGAACCAGCTCCTGGTTTGATTGACCTGTTTTATTGTTTTTTTGGATTCTGTTTTGTTAATTTCTAGTCTAATCTTCAGTATTTCCTTCTACTGACTTGGGGTATTGTTAGTTCATTTTCCAGCTCCTTTAGGTGTAAGGTTGTTTTGAGATTTTTGCTTCTTCCAGCATCATTTTTAAAAAAAAAGAATTTATTTATTTTGAGAGAGAAAGCAAGTGAGCATGGTGGGGGGGTGGGGGCGAGGCAGAAGGAGAAGAGGGAGAGAAGCAGACTCCCTGCTGAGCATGGAGCCTGATGCAGGGTTGGATCTCACAAGCCTGAGATCATGACCTGAGCCAAAATCAAGAGTCAGATGCTTACCCAACTGAACCACACAGGCACCCCCAGCATAATTATTAATAGGCCTCCTGTTCCCTCTCAGGTATCCTGGTTTAATGCTAAATGATTATTACTTTACAGATGAGGAAATAAGAGCCTGTGAGGTTAAATGATTTGCCCATTATTACTTATTAATAGGTAGTGTGCTGAGGACTCAAGGCGACAACTTGTGTGGGTATCACTAATCTGGGGCTCCTAGAAATAGAAGTGGACACACACAGAAGCCTTTCATTCTCCCTGCTCTTTAAGGCTTGGAATCCCCACAGTCCAAACTACAGCCCTCTGACCTGCAGAAAGTGGGAAACCATGTTTGTAAAAGAGGGTTGCCTTAGATTCTTCTGAGTATGACTGCCTTCCATTCTCTGCCCCTTGTGTCTCTCATATCATATCTAGGTCTTTAGATTGTCCCCTGGGTCTCAGTGCTGCTACTGGACCCCTCAACCCTCAAGAGCCTAGCCTTCTGAGATGACTCACTGTGCCATTGTGCATTCTTTTACTAGTTTCAGCCTTCAGCCTAAATGTATATCCTTGAAATCTCTGGCACAGTACAACCTGTAGACTATTGATACATGTGATTTTCCAGTCTCCACAGGGAGGTGAGAGGGAGTTGGTTAACAGGAAGTTATATCTGAGACACAATCCACTCCATAAAATATATGTCAAAAATTTGTACAATGCACATGGAAAAGACAACTGTAAACTGAAATGAGAACTGTTGGGTATGTTAATGTGATAGAAGGATTTTCTTCCCCCATGTTTAATATTTTATAATAAATATAGATTTTTAAGCACCAAGTTTATAAATGTAATGTTCCTACTTTGTAGGAACAAAGGTTACTTTTACTTTTGAAACTTACCTGAGAGACTTCTTTAAATTATCTGTGTTTCTAATACTATTACTGCCTGCCTGTTCACTTTTAATCATTTCTCAGAGCAACATAAAATTACTTACATAGAAGGGCCTCAGCAAAGCACAAGGTATCTACATTATTAGCTTTTCAAAATTATTAAGGAGGGGCACCTGGCTGGCTCAGTCGTTAAGCGTCTGCCTTCGGCTCCGGTCATGATCCCAGGACCCTGGGATCAAGCCCCGCATTGGGCTCCCTGCTCCACCGGGAGTCTGCTTCTCCTTCTCCCTGTGCCTGTCACTCCCCTGCCCTCACTTGTGCTCTCTCTTTCAAATAAATAAAATCTTATAAATAAATAAATAAAAATAAAAGCTAGCATCCCAGGAGAACAAAGTAGAAGTATCTGGCATTTAAAAAAAAAAATAGTACAGTAATGTGATTTTAAAAACCTGAGACTCTTCAATGTGTCTTTTCTTCTTTAATAGCTCTCAACAATGGTAACCAAGACATGTCAGCCTGGTTCAATCTATTTGCAGACTTGGATCCACTTTCAAACCCAGATGCTATTGGACACTCAGATGATGAACTACTTAATGCTTGACTGAAACTATGTCGTCACTTCAGTGGCCTTGAAACATCAATTTTACAACATATTGCCTTTGTGGAAAGGAGTTTATATTGTAACCCATACACAAAAGCATCGTGTTTGTGAATCTAACACTTTTCAGCCAACTTTAAAGAGATGGTAAGGACTACATTTGAATAGATCAAGTATTTCTTTAATATCTTGGATTTGCAGCTGTTGATAATATGTGGAAAATACTATGAACCACTGAGTCGGAAATAGATACCAAAATTTATTTCAAAATAATAATTAGGAATACTTCTGTAAATAAGGAATTGGACTTATTTCATTGGAAAGCCTTTTATGTGTAAGTTGCCTTGCTGGCTGTGAGAATTCTGTATGTGGATAAAGACAGCATGTAAATTTGGTTGTGATTTGGGGTTGGTTTTTAAATAAAACCATAGCAGGGGGAGTTTTCTGTTGTGGAAAATAACACTAGAACCAGAACAGTTTTGTCTTTAGTTAGAAAAGTAGAGTAAGATTTGAGAACTCAGTTTGCTTTAATGAAATCCCAGAGAAACTTGGTGCTTTTCTCCACTTGGAGGCTAAAATGTAACATTACTTAGTTTTTTTCCTTCACAGAAAATCATGGATACCCCTCAATTCCATTATTGAGTTTTCATGGGAAAATAGCAGGAGGCTTCATTTGCTAAATCTATCCTCTGCAGAAGCTCATAAACCCATCTCCTAAACCACAAGAATGTCCAGTAATATTCAAGACATTGTACAGGTGTCTTTAGGCCTGGTTTTTCACACATTGTTACCATAATGTACAGTATTCATATTCTTTCTGAAAAGAAAGCAAGGGGAGGACAATCCCTAAGCACCTGGCAATAGTATTCCTGAAATTACCCAGAAACTTCTATATGAATGAGGGAAAAATTCTAAGCTTATCCTTGTACATATTTGTACACTTATAACCTATTTCTTGACACGATTTAATCCAGATTACTTTTCTGGCAGTCACAGAAGGCTCCGCATGATCAAACAGAAAGGGTCTTATTTTTCCACTTTTCCCTTTCTGTGGGTGACATCATCTAAGGCTCTATTTGATGACTGAGGAAAAATTGTTACCCTTACTGGAGGGAGGTTAGTGTAAGCCAGTGAACCCATAGCCACTGTATATACATATCACTCAATTTCCTGTTCTTTTTTCTTGACCATCCTTCAGATTTGAGGCAGTTCTCCAGGTGCCTTATTTTTGTCATCCAGTCCATTACATCTCCATAAGGGAACATTTTAACTGAGGTGTTCACAGCAGTTTCCGTGTGCTCCCAGTTTTCAACAGGCTTATTTATTGTTTGTTTATAAGAGAATGGCTTGTAATGTCCGAGTCACTGTAAATAGAACATTTTTTGGGACTGCACCAGAGTTGGGTAAAGTGCACTCCACCTCCATGCACAGCACTCTGGCCTAGCTATAATTGGAACTGCCCCCGAGCCCTCCAGGAAATCACTGGTGGTGGGGCAGAGTACCACCTAGGCTGGCAAGACCTTATCTGAGGATCAGAAGCATTGACTCAGGAAAAGGTTATGTAGTCTTTTCATGCTTATTCCTGTTTCTTTCTTTCTTTAGTTATCTTTTCAGTCAGAAGCATTTTTTACCTCTTCCTTTTTATTCAGTGAAATTCTCCAGAAGAGTCAATCACCAAGGACTGTGATTCGTAATTACAATCTAAATTCTGTACCTATGGTGACTCTGTGCTCTCAACTTCGAATACTTCAAAAATAATGCTAACTTTGTATCTTGAGTTTGTGCCATTTTTCTTTCATTAATTTTTTCACTAATACATTAGTTCACAAAATATTTCTATATCTCCTTCACATGCATGCAAAGTAGTCCCTGTTATCTCGAATAAACAAATAAATAAAACCTGAACACAGAGGAAAACCACTGATCTTTCCAAGCCAGAAGCCAGAATCCCAGACTATCAGTGTATTCACATTGCCCTCAATTTCCAAAGAACAGAAGTCCTCAAAAAAAAAAAAAACCACACAATAGATTATTATTATTCAGTTCTTAGATTCTCTTAACATTTCTTCTGAGTATGTAGTTGCCCATTTAATCCAAAAGCACATTAACTGTCTTAGCAAGTTGTTATAATTTCAACAAATCTAACAACTCCATTTTTGAAGAGCACATTGAAAACTTTGTTATTAAAATGAAGGTAACCATAGTTTTTCAAGATTAATTATTTGAAGTTCAGTCATTTAGAGGCCAGAAACAGAAATCTGGCTATATTATAAAATAGATTGCTAATAGAGGAAACAAACCACTTATTCAGTAGGGAGTGAAGGAAAGACATGATAAACATAGAACAGAAAGGTGATCAGTTGCTATTTGTCTAAATCTAGATCAAACATTCAATAAGAAATAACCTTAACCAAAGGTAGGCTGAGAACTCTTTCAAAGTAAACGGATGTTTTTATATTAAATGGGGGAAAATAATATCTCCTACTTTTTATTACCAAATAAGAATGCATTTAACCTTGGAAAAGCCCAAGAACTAAAATTTGTCTAATCTTTCTTACGACCACTTTACAAGTGAGACAGGAATACCAGGGTATATTAAGATCAGACTGGTGTAACTTTGTATTTTTTGAAATCTTTCATTAATTGTAAAACATAGCTCTGATATGGTTAGAAATGAACTGTATTTTTTAAAAAAAAAATAGGTTTCTGTATTTGCACAATGAAATTCAGTGTTTGTATTTCAACTATGGATATTTACTTCACATAACTATAGACCATCTGGAAATGTAGAGGTCTTACAGCATAAGAACAAAGGAAGTTCGTGCTCTCTTTTTCTGAACCTCTTTTAATAAAGATTACAAGATGCCATAAAACAAAAAAGTTGATTTCTTAAAGTACTCAATACAAATCCAATTATTGTTAACGTATTCAAAAATTTGGGTTTTACCTCAGGACCATAGTAGTAAAAGGTAGTCTGAATTGATCCAGATAACAGAATGAAAATAAAACCAAGGCAATTAATATCTTTCTTTGTAAGACTGATTCTTTTTAACTTCATACAGAAGGGACGTCATATGGGAAATAACAGAATGTGTTCTTTGTGTAAATACACTAACAAAATACAAACCATCAAATATTAAAAATTTGAGCCTAGAAACAATAACCAATGAAATATAAGCATAGTATTTAACCTGATTTACTGAAGGCAGGAATAAAAAGAAGCCAGAATCAATCTAGTTTATATCTTCTGCCATAGTATTGGCAGGGCCCTGTGTTTTCTTACCTTGAGCAATGAAGTAGCCCCAGAATCTTGGGATACTGAAATTAAACTAGGAAGGAAATACAAACTTAAATATTAATTCAACAGTATTGAAAGTAATGCACATAAAACACATACAATGGTAAGGTGTTTAAATATGGCAATAAAAACCTACTGAACAGGATGGGTCACCTTAATATGCTAACCATAAAATATCTCCTCCTTTTTTATGTGCCATTTAAAGACACTAAAAAGTTGAATTAAAAACTGTCTTTGCATTTAAAGTTGAAACATGGTTCTTCATTCAGTGGTATAAATAACCAATTAACATCCAAAGAGTAAAATACAAAAAAGGAGATCTGGGTGGTGGGTGGTTTTTTTTTTTTTTTTTTTTTGAGAGAGCATGAGAGAGTGAGAGCACAAATAGGGGAAAGGGCAGAGGGAGA